CAAAATTAATCAAGTAGTTAGTTTTATACACGCGCTCGTGGACATAGAGGCCAGAGTTTCAAAGAGACTTAGCAACCTCGCACAGTCAAACGTTTTTGTAAGAATAAGAAATTTTTATGTCCATGGCATCGATTATAATTTCATTGAAAAAGAAAGATGTTTTGCCGTAAGTATACGAGTTATCAATTTGGTAAACTATACGACACATGAATAAAGGGGGTAAGTTTCTAAAGAAACTGTGTTGCTATATCGGTTGGAGGTATTACGAGAGAATTTGATTTCATAAACTGTGTTGATAATGTAAATTGGCCACCTAAAGCTGACGTTTTGGACTCTAGCCCTTCGTCACAGTGAATAGAAGAATTGGGGGAATTCGCTCTTCCGAAGGCCTAAGCTTGAAACGTTAGCTTTAGGATGCTAAGTACGTGGGAATATAAGCAGCACATCATGTCCGGCTGCATAAGAAATTCACAGTCACACTCATTTTTACAGTACTTTATTTTCATTCACCAATCTAAAGTACTTCTTGCTTGTAGTTGTCTCGTATTTGTTTCTGTGGGAAAAAAAAGGGGAGAACAAGAAAAGGGTTAGCCCAGAGTGACGGAGTGCACCAATATAATTTCATTCCATGAGAAAATTGTTTGTGGTGCCCCATGATTCACAAGAGGGTCTCAATGGGGTGATGGCTTTTACGACTAACGGTTAAAATCTTGTCGAATTTACGGCTTAAACGTTTAATTCAATTCCATCGTTGAACCCGGAAGATTTTTGACTGTTATCTTTTTTACGACTACTGGTTAAAATTTTCCAATTTATTACGCTTAACAGCTAATTTTTTTGGCCGTTTTACGGCGATCGGATAAGCCCATTGAGACCCTCTCATAATGGTAATTGAAATGAGGGCAGTACCCTTTGGTGTGAAATCATTTGCGTGATTTCAAAATCGCACGAGTTTGATTTGAAATCACAACTGTTAGACCAAAATTGTACGATAGGAAGTCCAAACACCATTTGAAATCACAAAACTCAGCTGATACCACCAGATTACAAGCCGAGCGGCCAAACTGCCTCCGGTGGGATGACGCCTCCGATTTAAACGTTGGCTTGTTAGGCGGAACTTGATAGTGAAGATCTACTCTTTTAGCAGTCGGTTCAAAAACACTTCACATTTGATGCAACAAGACAGCGCACAACAAAAGAGAAAAGCTATGATTCCAACCAGGCTCCTTTATGTGACCCTTGTTAAGACTTACGAATCAAAAGTCCACGTAAATGTCTCAATATTTTACCGAAGTGAGCTCTTACCTAGCAGCTATTGGTGAAACTGATATCATCAATGGCAACCACTTGGCCAGAGGCATTTACCTCAAACAACAGCTGATAAATAATAGAAAAAGGGTAAGAAAAATAAGTGAGAACTCGCTAAATCATTAGGTAACTAAGGTAGTGATGAAAGTCGTGGTAAATTGTGTTTTTTGTATGACCACAATATTTTATTCATAATATTAATCAAAACCATAACAAAATTCTCGAACATGATTGGTTATCACCAGCCCGATTTGAGCACTAATAGGACAGTGTACGCGTCATGCATATCATTAGACAGTGTCAAATGGACAGTTAAAGGGAAACTTAAAGCGTCACGCCTGTTCAAGTGGACAGAACGCGTCATTTGCACGCGCTGTTGTCTCACATTTCGCCGATTAACTGTTGATCAAGTTTTTTATGAAAATGTACAACCGATGCCTAGTTTCTTTCTCAAATTTTGTCATAGTTTTGATTAATTGGTAACAGGACTTCGTGTCGTCCAATTCTGCCTGTAATCACACTCGTGATTAACAAATCGGACCCCCGCTTCGCAGTCGTCCGATTTTGTGAATCACTCGCATGATCACAGACCAAATTGGACTCCACTCGTTCCTACTACCATTGTTAATAGTACAGTTGTAGTAATAATTTCGTAAAACCAAAACCAAAGTGATCGTAATGGCCAAAATAGAAGCAAGAAAACTGCCAGCGCATGAAAACGAGTCGTTATTGATATTAGTTTTGCATCTGATCGGTTGGTGGGCTGTCGCGAGTTTTCTGTACCAAGCACAGAGCGAAGTAAAGCAAAACGTAGGCAATATCGGACTATTTTCGACATGAGAAAATGAACTTCACTGGCAGGCCTCTTCAAGCTTGATAAGTTGTGTAGTTTTGTAGGAAGGAATGAAATTAGTGGGTCGGTAAGTAAGTACATATGGAGGGTAGAAGACTGGTGGATAGGTAGGTAGGTTCAATGATTGGCAAAAGAAGTTAACACCCCTCCCCTCCCATTCAATCAACATAATAAACATAAGTAATATAAAACATCTCGATATTATGAAAAAGTCCACTCCCCAAACAATGTTGCAAGAAATTAGCCAATTAGTGACCATTTTGAGTAAACACTAAATTGGGGGAGAAAGGAAATAAAAAATTTCAAAAAGTAGTAGAGCTTTCCAAGGCTAATTGTAGGTGGGTAAGTAAAGGGAGGCGCTCTGAAGGTGGTTTGTTAGATAGCGTCCGCAAGAAAGGGTAGGGTATGTAGATGGGTGGGTAAGACGGTAGACAGGCCAGTAAGCTTAGTTAGACAAGCATAAAATAGCGGTTTCTGTTCACTGCCTATCAGCTAGCGTATTCAAGTAAAAAGGGAAATGGGTCAGAATAACGGAGCTGCCAATAATGTGTGAGCGTTGTTCAAAATGTTGACAATAGAGAGATAGAAGATTCAACTGGTACTGGTTCTCGTGGGACTCACCTGTCGATGCACACTGACTTCTACTCTGACTTTCTCGCATTTCCACACGCCTTGATTTCCTTGATTACTAATAGCTGCTAGAGATGTCTTTCTTGAACCCTTTCTATTCTCGATCTTATACAACGTCAGTGACCCCCTGTGGTGGAATAGATAAGATACACAGCCTTAAAAAATCATTATGTAATTGCCAATGTGTCCAAAATGGGGCATCTATGATAAATAGCATATTTAAGGGGAAAGTGCGGTTGAGAAAAAGTTGACCTTAATCGAAAGTTCTTGGCCTAGTAAATAATACAAGAGATAGGATGGGTTAATAACGGAGTAGGTGGCAGACAGCAAGAGGTGGGACAGAAAGGGAGGAGAGGATGATGGGAAGGTGTAATGAGCGGAAGGGAAGAAGACTAAACTATTAGGAAGGCATTCTTCCGGTGGGGCGTATGCGTATGACTTCAGATAGTGGATAAACATGACAGCTACCATCTTGAACGTTGTTGTAAGTTTTTTTTTTTTTTTTTTTTTTTTTTTTTTTCAAGCTTTTGAGAAATTCTTATTGTGAAAAGGATATTGAATTGACTCATTAGTCGCGACTAACCTAGTGATGTAATAGTTAAACCTGATACACATCGTGCCGTGATCTGCGTTGTGACTGCCGAGGACCAACTCAAACGGGATCAGAAGTTGCGCCTTGCCATTACTTGTCTCAGTCACGAGAAATTTCCCTGAAAGGCGAATTATTTTACAGCGTTGCTACAAGTTTCTTACCTTGGATAATAAAATGATAGTAACTAGTCATCTCTTTGAAATCCGCCTTCTCTTTTTCTTTTTTATTCTATTCAAATCTTATTTTGACGGATCAGATTTAAAACGACAAACCGTAGAAAATTCCAATGTTCCAATGGGGTTATTCTTTTCAAGGATGTCGTTATCGTTTGAGCTACTACCAATGCTTGACTCTCGCTGTTACTCGTTTTCGCCGTTAGTGTAAATTAGTAATGTAAATTATGGTTTGATAACACAACACAATGGAGGGACGGGACAGTGAGGCGAAAATTTGATTTTATAAAAACCACTTACTGTTTGAGTTCAAGGTCCGTACTGTAAGTTACAGACCGAGTTTTTCCGCACGGATTTATTGCCTGAGCGCGAAGCCTTTCCGAGCGGGAAAAAACGGGGTTCCGTAACTTACAGGGCGGAACAAGAAAAGGAAGTTAGCAAGATATTTATTATATCTCTGAGTTTAAATGGGGGAAGGAGAAGAGTTCAATTCAAACAAACTTTCGAATTTAGCGAGCCGTACAGTGATATACGGCCCGCTAGATTGACCAATCACAGCGCACGTATACTAACCGAGGGATAAAATGATACAGAGGACGTTCATAGTATTGGATAATACGAGGACCTGTTACCATTTCATTAAAAAGCGCGAAAAAATTTAAAACAAGATAAAAAGGTTATGGGACGTATAGTTAAAAGTTCCAATAATACAGCAGCAAAACCAGTGACAAAAATGTCTTATGCAATGTTTAAGAGAAGTCGTAATCACTTTTTGCGGGAAAAAACAAATAACATAGGGGGACCTTGTGGGGTTTTGCTGCTTCTAGAGCCAGGTTTTATTGAAAAGTTGTATTGTCTGAAGAGATTATTAATTCAGTGACAACAAAACGTCGAAGGAAAATAAATTATACGTAAAAACTTAAAACTAAACCGTTGTAGTTATAGTTTTTTTATAATTGTGATGAAAACGCCTGACAAGACAAATTCGTACTGAGATCATCTTTCTGGTAACCACTTACCACTCCCCCCAGCTCCAGAGCTCGGTCCACCAGAGATGCTGCTTTTGATGACAAAATCCATGTCGTCATCAAACGGAACATTATGCCAGTCACACATACTATCATCAAAAGTACATTTTTTCACTTTATCACTGGCATTGCTCACTGCGAAAGAAGACACAGGGAATTAGGTCACTTGATACTGAAGCAAACAGCTGCACAGTATCAGCTGCGAGTGCAAAAAGCTTACAGGATGACTTTTTTACTGGTGATAGGAGGGGAGGGATGGGAAAAGAACGTAAGCGGCTGAGCAGGCACACCAGAGTAATTAAGAATGGTTCGAGTTCTTTTCTCATCCAATCGTTTCAGTTAAGTATTCTGAATACAATAGCAAAGGACCCTCGTCCAGGCTGCAATTTAAAAATGCTAATAGCAAAGCTTGAAAGCACCTGCTCAGTTTTGGTTCGTTTTGTTTTGTTCGTTTCTATGTTGTAATAGGATTTTCCAGGCAAATTCAGAGGAAAGTTGTAGCCTCCTGCACCATCGAGTGAGAAAAATTTGGCCACTAAAGCTTAGTAACTGTTGAGTGAAGGTTTATTCTTAGTGAGCTGCGCAGGTTGATGGATTTACAATAAACAGTTGGCAGATAATGAGAATGGGGCTGATCGTATCCTTCTCGGATTCAAAAGAAAATTATAGAATTTGATTTTCTTATGCATAAGTAAACTTTACTATGAGTTCCTCACATAACCCAACGTAAGAAAAATAACATGTTCTACAGACTACAAAATCTTAAAGAGTTATAGGCCGTGAACTACATATGAATTTAACGTCCAGGAAATGGAAACGGTTTTAAAGAAAACTTGAAACTAAACAAGGTGTGGTGTTTCTAATTGAATACGCCATACAATCGAACCTGTTGGACAAATGTTACGCACGAAAGGTCAAAGGTTAATCTCTGTGGTAATACCGTAGCTGCCACGAGCTACACCTCACCAAATAAAGCCTTTTGGCAGTTCACCATGACTTAAAATAAACAGGAAAAACGGAATTAAATTCTAATAAAGGAACTGTGTTCAGGAGACTGGTAATGACGACTTTTATACAAACCACTACAAACCGAACCGCCTCCTCCTCCACCGCCGCCACCACCGCCTCCTCCTCCTCCTCCTCCTCCTCCTCCTCCTCCTCCTCCTCCTCCTCCGCAAAAGCCACACGTCTTTCCGCAGTTGTTCTTCATGTAGCTATGCCATTGGCTTGATTGATCACAAAACCCGCTACTTTTCCAGCCTGAACAATATTGACTTTTGTCTTCACAAACTGTGAAAAAGAAATGCTAAATATCAAATATCTGTCTAACTTAAAGCACAACTTGAAGCATGCAGGAATAGCCCAAAAAATTACAAAAGTTAACGAGCTCTTCCATAACATTCAAATTTTCCTCTCGTTAAAATTACTTCCGTTGGTAAAAACCAAAATTTTGATTCAGAGTTTTAAAGATACGTTTAGGGATGAATATGAGATCAAGGAGAATCAACGGATGTATAAAAGTTTTTATTTGCGCTGTTTGTTTCTTTAAAAAAAAAAGTCTGTTTGTACCGGAAAGCTGCACTGTCCAGCTCTCTGACTGGTCAATATGCTTATGAAATATAGCGCTATTTCATTGCCGCATGGCTTTGTCTTGGAATATTTTTTTCTGAGAACTTTGGATTCAGTTACTACGAACTCGCCTCTGATTTAAGACAAGTAACAAACAAAGAAACTTCTGTAAAGTGAGATTCAGTTACCTGGAGGTTTAGTTGGGCCACCTGTTCAAGTGAAATAATGAGAGTAAACCTAAATTAGTTAATTAACAGCCTTCAACTAATGGGTTGTAAGGGATTGCGATTAAAAAAAACTATAGTTAGGTAATTTGAAAGCTTGAATCAACATTAAATGACATTTGCAATTAAAAAGTCTGAGAAGACCCCTTTTATTTATATTTTTCTTGATTCTAAAGTTTAGCATTACACACATTAGGTAAAAGGAGAAAAAAATTGAAAAAAAATTTTCGTAGATACACAGTTTAGTTCAGAAACGACTTTAGTAAAACAGCTGAAAAGCTTAATGATGCCCAATCGTATCCAAAAGCTATTAAATTGCAAACAATCCTTTTTTCACTATAACTACTACTTAAGAGGGGCGAGGCGAGAGAAATGAGTCCCTCTCCTCTTATACAGTCGGTCTGTACGCGTTGGTAATAGTATCACAAAAATCACAGGCTTTTACGTGGTGCTGTGTTGTCGTTTGGTATCTTGATAAAATGTTATGTGATGTACATGATCACACTTGTGGTCGACACGACTTCCCTTTGGGCGAGGTTACTCAGCAAGGGAGCGAGGTGACTTCATGCGATATGAACTACCTTCTGCGAAACGAGTCGGGAAACGCAAAGATATTATTTTCACCAATTCAAATTGATTCATCCAAGGATTACGCAAGGAAGGTGGGGAATGCTCGAAGTTTACAAACACTTTGGAAACATTTATTCACGATAAATGAATATACTCACTACAATATCCGCATTTTTTTGGACAGTTCTTTTTCATGTAATCTCTATAGTCTTGACAGTATTTGTCTGGCCATTGAGAGCAGTAATTAAGTTGGTCCTCGCAGGCACCTAATAAATGAAAAGCAACTTTATTCTACCCATTTTTTTAACCATTACACAGAAGTAAGCTGGAAAGAGCGTAGAAATATATGTATTTTACTGTACTTTTAAGCTGAAAATAGAATGTGTATGTGAATGTCAGAGGAGCGGAAGAACATTGTAGTTAGTCACAAAAAGGGATGATACGCAGTTGGCGACATAGTAACTGTCAAGAAAAATTTTAAAAAAACGTCGAGTAAGACCTTTCCCAAAAATTCTTCATTTAAACCGAAAGATGGAGGTAATGAAATGTTTTTAAGGTCTTTTCCGCTATATTGTAGTTTATATTCGGAACATAGAAGAAGTATGGCGACGCAGTTTATTATATAGAACATACAACATACAACGGTTCAAATCCCGTTAACCCTCCACCATTAATTGCCAGGAACGTGTTTGTAACTCTCCCCTTTATAATTTTCCCTGTAAATCAATAACGATAAGTTGGTGTTGTATCAAGATAAAGGCCTCGAACTGAAAATTTTTAAACTTTTGGGAGAACTTCACCTCACTTCTAGTGGTTAAAGCGTTTAAGAATGTTTTTATGGGCTCCTCGTTTAACTTCAGATCGAAATGGTCGACTCTGAAAGAAGTAAACTACGTCCTTGCGAGACAATTGTGCAATCACACCCAAAAAAAAAGCTAGCACTAAAAGGAAACACATTTTATAAAATCAAAATGTAAAATGTGACCGTGGAGAGTAACACTGAGTAAAATAAGTCCACTACCGTGAAATAAGGCTGCAGCAGGAGATTTAAGGGAGGGATATATGTAATATTATGTTATTCACCATCCTAGAGGTCCGTTTTGGGAACAACTGTGCCCGAGGTCTTGAGTACCGTCGGTACCAGTACTCAAGACCTCGGGCACAGTGTTTCCCAATACGAACCGATCTAAGCTGGAGAATAACACTTTTTACTTTTTTTTTCTAAAACTTAATGATTTAGGGCTGTAATTACGGCAAGATCTTCCATAAAATGAATGTAATTTTCAAGCGAATAAATAATAACGATAACAGAGGTAATGCAAATTAAAGAGGGAGGGTTCACCGAACATTTTTATTTGCGTAAAGGTGAAAACGTGTACAGTTTTTTACGAGTAGCTGTCTTGATCTGACACCTGTCAATTATAGAGCGCGTAAGAAAAAAAGAGCGCATGTACACTTTTAAAAAAACAACGGCACTGGTTTAGCAAACAAACTCCACAAACGACAATTTTTTTCTTCAACAAAAGTCAATGATCATACGGAAAGTATTATTCACTTTCAACAAAGAATACCTCTTAAATTTTATTCTATGTTTTTAAGTTATGGGAGTTTGACCGTTCGTTTGTAGTAAATTTCACAACAGAAACCGAAGGAATTCGACGAGAAAAAGCCGCATTCAATCCCCTAGGGTCTAGTTAAAGTGTCTCATTTGACTTAAATTTTTCGGTGGAAGAAAGACCAAATTTGCACACGCCATTGTAGCAAATAATAAGAGTGTTGGCTGTGTTTGATTTTTATTACCATACGTAAGCTTGCAATCTAACTGAGCCTGAATATCTTTAAAACTCGGAATGTCTATTTTGTTTTTTCTTTGAGGATTTTCGTATCTGCTCACGTTTTAATAACGTAAATTACGGCGCCTGGTATGTTTACAAACCTTTGTTTGGTTCTTCTGTTGCTACTTGCCGGCTCGCTTGTTCCGAAATTTTACTTCTATTATCGGAAAAAAGCTAAAAAGAAGTCCCGGAAAAGGTCGAACATAGTACAATTTGGCAGATGGCGTGACAGCTTTAGCTCAGCTCTATGCTCTATACTCTCATAGAGCACGCTCTTTCAACCAATGACAGCGCGCGTTATATCCGAACTTTATTATAAAAAGATTTATTTCGAAACCAATTTTTGGCTGGCAACTAAAGTAATTTGAAAGAGAGAGAGAGAGAAAAGAGAGGACTAATAAATTAAAAATTGGCTTGATTTGCTAAAAACATGCTTTGCTGGAAAAATTACCTAGACGCTAAAACGAAATAAATTTATGAAAAATGGCAACGAAGCTAGGGATCTACTAGGCAACTCACGAGAGCGTTCCTGCACCCGACCGCGGATAGCGATAGAAAATCCGGACCTCACTAAGAACCAATCAGACAGCAGGATTCGTTACCGTGCCCTCTGAGAAAAAACCAACCCATTACAAGCTTACCACCTAAGGAAGTTATGCACTCTATGATTACTTTCGCAAAATAGGGTGTGCGAAGTTAGAATAAACCCTTTTAGGGATTTTATTTGTCGATCAAGATCCTCGCGTTTCTATGTACTCAGCTGCAATGACTCTGAATGCGCCCAAAATTGGACAATATTTCGTGATGAATTCGAGAATTGTAAGATTAGAGATCCTTTCATTCCACTTTGTTCAAAGTTAAAAGCGAAATTTATGAGAAAATACCAATTAGTGAAACCCATAGTGTTGTAGCTTAGGTTTAAGAGGCTAACTTTCGGGTAAATAGGTCAGATAGATAGCTCTATGAAAGGAGGAAAGCTGGTTAATTTTCTTACTTTGTCTCCTTTGCCTGGTCTTGACTTCTTCTTCTGGAGCTGTTTCACGAAGAAAAGTATAGAAAAATATAGTTGTTAGATTAAGACAGAGTAACAGTATAACACATTTTTTGCCTTTTGTCATTGAATAATTCGAAACCTTCAATTTTAAGTGCCTGAAGGTAAGTTGATCTTGTATCAGATCAAGGTTGAGTTTCCTTGATTTTCAGGCTCTTAATGTAAATCATCTGAGTAAAATACTAACGTAAAAGTAAAAGCCAGCGTATCTTCTGGGATATCCCAGAAAAAAAAAACCAATATTTTTCATCTCACGAACCAGTTGGTTTCATCTATTCAACTTCCTACCAAACGCAGTTGACTCAACAACTTTTCTGAAGCACAGTATGGAGTTGCAAGAGAGGTACTTATGTTACAAAACATTAATTGCCCTCTAGTCAGTGTGTGACTGATATAGGTGTACAAGTGCAGAGTTCCTTCGTTCATTCAGTTTATTTGCAAATCGTTTGAAGAGATTCGAAGGCATCATTTTATGGTAAAAAATCTACTTCTTACCCTCGGGTTCATCGAGTTCAAATTCTTCAGGGTATTCTTCCTCGGGCAATGAAAGAGTAAATTGCGCTATAAGCGCCCAAGCGCACAGAACAGCAAGCCAGCGAATTGCCATTCTGCCAGCCAGACTGAAAAAAAGAAAATGAATGTTTGAAGTCAGCCGCAGAACAAATTATTTTTTCAAAAGACCGAGAAACGCCAGGCGCAAGTGTGTTTGTATCACCTGCGTGACGCAAGAGATCGAGCCATTCACTGCAGATTCCAAAAGAAAATGAAACGATTCTGAATGGATTTTCATGTTTGTTGAAGACAAGAAGGTTTTTTCAGCGTTAGGTTTGTTTACATGTACTCCAACAAGCCTCTAAAAGTCTTTTTGTGCAAAAATGACAGTATGCGATAGGGTAATTGTTCACCTGAGAGAAATAACAATGGGTTGTGAAGAACCAATTTGCGCAAATCGATTTTGGTGTATTGAAGATGTTTGCTTTACAAGCAGATTGTCTTATCCGATGGTTTCCGAAAAAAAAAAATTCGCCTCTTATCAATTGAGCCCGTTTTAGCAAAAGTTGAACCTTGTGATTTTAAATACAATTTATGTGTTTCAAGAAAATTAAAGAAAAACGTACTTTACACCTATGATGATCTAAAGCAAATCAAACAATATTATTCACAAAAACCATTGTTCTTAAAAAGTGAGATACGTAAAACTGATGATTGGAAGTTGTTTTCATAATTTCTTTCACCTTTATTGAATTTTCCGAATTCTATTTTTAAGCAATTTAAGATAGACACTTGCATAACATTAGTGGTCATTTCTCTGGGGCAACTGAAAAAATAGAGTTTGGCTTTGTATGTATGCAACTTGGCAGCTAATGATTATACCAACAAACTTAATCAATATTCTGACATAGTAGTCGCGCCAG